CGAGAAAAAGGGCTCCTTCGGCCAGTTCATGGCCGTGATTTATTAGGCACAAACATTGCCCCCACATCCCTGGATTCTTCGGTCTCGGCGTGGGTAGGGGCCGAATGGATTCCAAGGGATGGACCCTTTGCATTCCTTCTGAAGTGATTGACAACTGGGGTATTAAATGCGAGGCCAGTCGGCGCATTTAATGCCTCAAGCACGTCGTGCAGGTCATCATTGCCCAGGGCGTCATTTTGCCTCGTCAGGTGAAACGACGGTCTCTAGATTTCCGACGAGTCATCGCGCTCTCAATTCGCGAGCCATCATTTTGCCCTACTAATCGAAACATCGGCCGCCATGTCTCTGTCATAATTTCGCGTGCTCTGAGTGCGCTGTCAGGCCGTTTTATCTTTCGAGAATCATACTTCTGTGTTTTGAACTCCAGCGCCAGTATAAAACCCAAACTTCTTCGCATTTTCTTTCACACCCCCAAAATCTCTGAGTTTATGTTCTTCGAAGGTTCACACTGACTTTCCCCAGTTTTCTCAGCCCTCTTTCCCCAAATTTGAAACACTTTTATTATTCAGTGAACTTCCTTCTCGCTTTAATTACTCTGGAGCCCTTCTTCGATTCCTGGGCTTCGTCCTCCCTTTTTTCAACCTGCCCTAATGATCCTCATTGCAGCCTCTTCAAAACCAGGGAACCATATCTGCTGAGTCTCATGACTTGGCAATTTGGCCTAGTCCAGATGACTTGGCAGTTTGATGAGGGCGAGAGGACCTGGGATGATGACCCCAACGTGGCCGAATTTATGCGGCTGAGTACCCTGGTCACATCCATGGCCGAAGTGACGGCCCTTATCATGGCTGGAGTGATGGCCCAGTACAAAAAGAGGCCGTGGTTCGGCCTCCGACCCTACATTTATTTCTAACAAAGGGTCCTGGACTTCAGGGTAGTCATCCTCCATCTCGGCAGGCGCCAAAGTCAACGCGTCCGTCTCGTCCGATTCGTGGAGGAATTCGATCAGGTTGATTGGTGAATTTGGCCGTAAGGATTCCTCCGCCCAATGTTCCAGCAGTCTTTCTACC